TATTTTTTAAAGTCCTTATCAAAAATAAATTCTATACAGTACGCCCATTCAGGGTCGCTAAATAATAATTGAACGAGGAATATACAAAATTGTTTTCCATGTTAAACAAATCACTTCTCGGGACATCGATACAGAAAATATTAAAACTAATTAATTACCGGATAAAACTTGGAGGGATTTTTGATTATCGCCTTTCAATTTTCTCGTTTCCCCGGGCAATCAAACAGGATTTAAAATTTTCAGTCCTGTCTTCCTCGGTATTTATTTTCTTAGTCTTAGCGTTTACAATTTCATTTATTTGGGATCTATTGTGGATACTTTACTGGCTTAATATTTGATTATGATTATTAAAAAAATTATTAAAATTTGAAATAGCGGAGCATTATGTATTTTTATTTCATTTAAACGAATTAAAAAAATATTTTCATCTTTTGAAATTCTAAATTGAATAAAAAAACTTTTTGAACTAAAATTTAAAATATTTTAAAAGTTGTATAGATATACATATATATGCGTGTGTGTGAGTAAATAAAATTTTCGATCGTGAAAATTCTTTTTTTTGGGGGGGGGGGGNTTTTTTTTGGGGGGGGGGGGGAGGTCCTGACATAACTCCTTCCTACTCAACTACGTCCCTGACCACATACTTGTTTATATATTCATATAAAAAAAGATAAGGTTTGACAATTCTGCCATGTTTCTTCAATATCTGATGCTACAAAAATAGCAACTGATTCAGGGTTGGGTTTTTATTTCTAAGAAATGAAATGGAGATAATTTTAATACATTGCAAGTTTCTTTTATCACTCACAATATTCAAGTTCTTATCTGGGTTGCTCATACTCTGATAAAAAAATGAAATGAAATTATTTAAAATAAGATCTGGATACTTCAGAGGCGTTTTGTAGATCTTGAAGTTTGCAGCTTTTATAAAGTCAGATAATTCTCTGTAAGTATTCTAATTATTAATTAGTTATTTATATTTTGTTAATATAATTAGTTATTTATGCACATCTAAGAATTAACCTCTTACATAAAAAGGAGTTGTGCAGACAAATATTATAAAATATCATGAACTCTACATTGCACTTCTTACGAGATATCAAAAATAATAGAAATAATAAATAAATAAAAGAATCCCAAAACAGCCCCACTTTACGGCAATCACTTGCTAAATTGAACTATAATTCGAATACTGTGGACTGTATAATTTTATATTTTCACAACATACTCAGCATTACATATTTTATTATACTCACATTTTTCAAAGTTTTGAAGTTACGGAAAAAGAATAGAATTGTTTACGCCCTTTTTTTGCAAAAATGAGGATTAACTAGCTATCTGTTTAATTTTGATGATTTAATTTTGTTCTATAAATTTAAGAATTTTATATAAATAAAAGAATTTTGTTCTATAAATTGAAAAATTTTATATAAATAAAAGAATAAAATTGATTCTATAAATTTGATATTCTATAAATTTGATATTCTATAATTTTGATATTCTATAAATTTGATATTTTATAAATTCGATATTCTATAAATTTGACATTGTATAATTTGATTGTTCTATAAATTTGATATCTCTGTACTTATATTCTGTTTCACATATTATGTGGTTACACATCTGTTGATGCCAAATAAAAGCTCTTGTTGTTTTTAATATTTGAAACTATATGCTGCTCTTTAAGTTTGATGTCTTAGAATTGTTATTGTATATTCCACAAATGTCAATGAAAAATTAAACTGTCGTCGGCAATTTTATTCTCAGATTTCAGGTATTTAAAGTAGATGAAAATCTAAATCTAGCACTTGCACTATGAATTTGGTATCTTTGAGCCTTTACCCATTTCACGTATGGCGATGAGAAATAAAAGCTATCGTTGTTTTTAAAATATTTTACAGTAGAAATACTAATGAAAAGTTAACAACAATACTAAAGCCAACATGGAATAATTTGTCGTTGAGCTCTGTAAACTGGATAAGATATAAGAGGCACTATCTCTTTACACATGTCGTTTCATCTACGATAATTAGATATGAAAAGTTCGCATTTCATTGTGTTAAATAGTAACCTTTAAAAAGTAAATCACTTAATATAGGAGATATGAATTTTTATCCATCATAAATGTTGTAATGTTGAAATATTTATTTTAAGGGTTAGCGAATTCAAATGCCTTGGCACTGTTGCTAACGATCGAAACATACTTAGAGCAGAAATCAACAATATAGTCAAAATGGCTAATAAGTGTTTCTTTGGACTGAGCAGACAATTAAGATCAAATCTTCTCAGCCGAAATTCTATAAGACACTCATACTTCCTGTACTGCTTTATGGAAGTGAAACTTGCACCCTAAATTTTGATATACAGTGGTCACAGGACACCTTCGAAAGAAAGATTCTCAGAGCCATCTTTGGCGCAATTCGGGAAAGGGGATGCTAGCTAACCGGATATAACTTCGAGTTCTACCGACTGTTTAAGCAGCCCCAAATTACCCAAATAATCCGCAGTAATAGGCTGAGATGGATCATCTATGGAGAATCCCTGAAAATAGCGCCATGAGCCCGTGGGGTCATGTCCCAGTGGCAGACCCCCCACTAGATGGCTCACCGACATCGAAAATGACTTGAAAACCCTAATAATTAGAAATTGGAAGGGAGTTGCTATGGATAGGAGGAGCTGTCGTTTGTCAGCTGTTGAGGCAGCCAAGGCCTGCAAGGGGCTGTTGCGCTGACAAAGAAGAAGAGCAAATATTTATTTTAACACTGAATAAGTTTAATTGTAACACAGTATTTATTATGTTTTATGTTTTAATGCATTTTCAAATTATTTGATCAAAATAAATATAATACGAATTTTTACGCATCATAAACTTCGTAATTTTGAAATATTTATTTTAATGCTGAATAAGTTTAATTATAACGGAATATTTGTTATGTAATATGTTATTATGCCTGTCCAAATAATTAAGTCAAGAAAATATAATACGACTTTTTACGAATCATAAACTTTTTATTATTGAAATATTTATTTTAATGCTAAATAAGTTTAATTGTATCCGAATATTTTTTAATAATATATTTTTAGGCGTTTTCAACCTATTTAATCAAAATAAATATAATGGAAGGCAACGAATAAATTTCATTTTTATTTTGGAATTTTTCTAATTCTTTAAATTCATCATCGGAAGTTTGACTTTTGATTTCTTTTTATTTATTACATATTTGCAATTAAAAATTTTGTAGCGTGTCATTACTTTACATTTAAGCTCTTTGGTTCAAAGCAATATATAAGAAAATAAACAATATATTATTTGTTACGTCTCATTAATAATGGAAGTAAAATAGAATAAAATGGAATGAATTTCACAGTCTGTTGCATTCAAACCTGTATTCATTTCTGTTAAATGAAAATTTAGCATTCAATCTACAAGAAATATGTTTAAAAATAATAAAATAAACTTTTATAATTTACATTTTTTTAAGTAATTCATTCGTATTATGAGAAATTTGAAAATCATGCATTCACATCTGTGAGAAATTTGTTTAAAAAATAATAAAACCAAATAAAATTTCGCAATCTACGTTTTTCAAGTAAACTGCAAAGAAAATAATGCTTTTAAATTATGTCAATATTTTCCATTGAGCTAAAAGTTTATTAGCAAATGAGGTGCCCTACGTTTTTGGTCTTAATATATATATATATATGAAAGCATTAANATATATATATATATAAAACAGCTTTTTCTATAGAACCGCAAGAGTTGACTTAAGGAAAAGTGGACGTATGTCTCACTCCAGAAATATACTAGGGAGTGAAACACCAACATTTAGAAATAGGAGGAAAGTAAATGGAGTGAACCACAAATTACGCATAACTGATTATCCAGTTCGAATGATAGCATTTAAAGTGAATGCAAAGTTGATATGGAAACGATGCTGCCAGATCAGAACAAATTACAATCTTTAAAAGTAGAAGATTCCGTTATTCATTTGTAGGTGCGGCAGAGAAGCCTGGGGGAGTGGGTAGCTCTTTGATTGCCTTAGATCGTTTTAATCAGACAGCAATGGATATCACGTGAGAAGATTGGATTTGTTTGTCCTTTGAAGATCACATGTTGATCTACGCCTATGAAGTAAATTTTCACAACATTTGTTCACAGCCCTTTGCCTTAAATAGTAATAAAATCGTCAAAAAGAGCAAACTTTTGATAATAAATTTTCGTACTATGCTTATTTTCTGTCACTGAAAATCGTATTACTGTCCTTGTTGTTACGTTCAGGAGAGAAAAAAAACATCTTAAAATGACTTTACATTTACTTTGAATGCTTTCATGTGAACTGACTAGTGAGCCATGAGCAACCTGTGTTGTGAGCCTGTTACTGTAATTTATACTCCTGGATGGTGTCGCTACACTATTTCTGACGTTGTCACGTTTATCTGTGTTTCATTTTACCCTCACTTCTGATATATGGCACACAGTTAACTGATAATAAAAAAACTACTCGCAGTAGATCATTAAAGTCAATCATCACTGGTAGCTGTCAGTGAGTGGGTGGGTAACCACTTTGATCAGCCTGCGAAGAAACCGAGGATGCGCGGTCTTCATTTAATTGTCATACATGTCCGATGTTTGAGGAGGACAGAATTAAAATACACAATCACACAAGTTCTCTAAATTTCATACATAACAAAAATATTCTTTAAATTTGTTAAACATCTGCAAAAATATTATAATAATATTATAAATATCATAATAATTAAATAACTTTTTGATTATATCCTTTATGAGCTTAAATCGATCAGGATTCATTCAACTTTTCTTTGTCGAAAATATTAAGAGAGACATTAAGGTTTAAGTATTGAAGACGTAGACCACTGTCTCCCCACAGCAACGGCACCCATGCTTTAGAGCCCATTATACGATTGTAGTAAACCATGAATAAAGTTCCAATGTTTACCTATATTGATACCTATATTTCATATGAGTGTCTTTATTCCAGAGATCAAAATGTGCAAGTGCCTTTGTTCCATTGTGTGGTTGCTTATCCTGATCTTCATTGGATATCCTGTCGGATTCTTCTTCGCTGGATGGTATGTTCTTTTTTGCCCACTGGAAGCTTGTTGTGACGGCTGTTCGGGGATAACGGGTTTTCTGCTCAAAGCTACGCAATTCCCACTCTACTGCACCAAGAATATGCTGGCAGGCAATGGACTTTGTGGATAAGAACATATTTGAATGTCATATCTTCTGATTTTTCATTGCTTTTAATCATGGTTCCAAAGGACTTATATTTTCACTGCCAACTAACTCATAAATATCATACAGTATTTTGTCAAAAGTTTTTACATTAAATTATATTTTTGATCAAAAATTAAGTATATTTTCTGCTATTATTCAATGTCTTCGATTTTAAGAAACCAGTTTTTTTTTCTGTTTATAACGCATTTTATTATTTTTTTTGTCTAATTTTAAACATTGAGTATTCCAAATTTGTCTTCAATAAATAAAAAAATGACAAATTTGGAGAGAAAAAAATTAAACGAAAAAATTCACGAAATGTATTCTGTGTAAACAATTTTTATAAAAAAAAAAAAAGCTAACAATCACAAACAGAAAAATCGCACTAAAACGAAAAACGCACTAAAAAAATTTACAACTTCAGAAACAAATTTCTAACTAAGTAAAAAACCAACTTTGTGGCGATTTTTTTAATGTTATAATGTCATTAAACAAGTCAACAAAAATTAAGGACAAGAAAAATTTTTCGAATCCTAACATAATTATTATAGTTATTGCTGGGATTAAAATCTGAAACCACTTTTAAAAAATGTTTACCTCTTCAATTTTACGAAGTCTCTCCATCGCGAATATTATATGATTTTTTTTAAATTAATTACTTCAGAGAATAAAATAAAATAAAAATAATCAAATTTTGAAATTTTGTTTTTAATATTTCGATACATTTGACATGAGTGTTGATAAAATTAAAGCATTTTATGCAAACAAATCTACTGAACAATGTTTATATCTGACAGATTCAACCTACGGTATAGGAAAATTAAGTTTTGAGCAATCAGGATAGTTTATTTCATTTCATAATATTAAATATCACTTATAGTTTGTCTCAACTTATATGTACCCAAGATTTACCTATTGATAAAAAAAAGTATAATATTTAATCATTTATTTTATAGAAGCGCGACACATTTTAATTTATTGAAAATATTTTGCTCTACAAATGATACTTACACTGAGAAATCCTTCTTTTAAAACCATAATATCACTTTAACAAACAGATTGTTTCACATTTATTATATATTTAGAATACTTTTCAAAAATTTAGGTCAAATAAAAATTTTAGTGATTTCCTTAAACGGATATTATTTATATTGGGTGTTAAATTTATGAAAAAATCAGTTGCCGGCAAATGAGTGGACTATCGAAATCTTCTAAGGAAGACCGAGGCTCACCTTGGGCTGTCATTCCACCACCAATGACGAGGATGAATAATGTAATAATAAATTTATTAATATGGATATAATGAACATTAATGCTCCTTCTAATTAATTTATAAAAACTCACTTGCGTCTTAATTTTTAAAGATAGGCATTACTCTGTAAAAAATTCCTAATAGATTGCGGCAAAATTTTACGGCACTCAAGAAGATCATGAAATTTTACTGAAAAATTTGACATACTTTAATTTTTATAAAATACTGTTTACAGTAAAATCAATGTAAGTAAATAAATATTACAGTAAAAATTACGGTGCAAAATCTTCCGGTAAAAACGCACTTTTGCGATATAATGGATTTTATGAGGCTCGTGCACACAGAGTCCGAGTACTTTTAACTCAATTTAATGCAGAATTTTTTTACAGTGCAGTTCATGACATGAGAAGCAGCATACACATTAGTTATTAATATTATATTTACTCATTATATTTAAAACCACTTTTGTTTCTTCTCATTTACGTCTGACAAGTCTTGTAAATAGGTGCCTGTTTTCGAGCGCTTAAAACTTGTCGACTGTTATTTCCAATCTGCATATTTTTGAAGCAAATCAAGTTTTTAATCAAGTAATGCACATTAGTGGTTGTAAAGTAAAGAGTAAAACAAAACCGATGTCGAAATCAGTCCAATCCTTAGTGAAGAAGGCGAGATTAAAAATATCAAAACCAGTTCGATTGTCTGATGAAATTTAGGTTTTTTTTTTTAAATTATCATGTTTTAAATCCTCTTCGTTCTGTTCATAATAAAACAAGTTTTGATGTTTTCAACCCCGACTTCTTTACTGCTAGTATGAGATATTTCATTCACGTTTTTTTTTTTTTCCGTGCTTGAATAATAATTAGCAGCCCTAAATTAGTATATATTTTGGACTATATATTTGGACAATATATACTAAGGAAAGTGAATACGGAACACTCTGAATTATCGAATTATGTAATTCAACAAACGCGTGAGGCGAATAAAAAATTTCATATTTCTTTAAAATATTCCTTTACCTAACTAAAAGTTACGGTTACGATAAATTTTTATTATAATAAAACGACAATTTTAACGTTATTTAAACTAAAAATGTAAAATGTCGAAAATAAAATAACGTTTGACTCTTACTCCCAAATTAATTATTTAACTTGTTCTCGAATGTTCCAGATATTTTTTTTCTCAATATTCTTCATTCAAAGCAGAGATAGGTGGAATTTATACTTTAATGCTCTCAACGCAAACTTTTTTTTTTAATACTAAAATAACATTTCTTTTAATTTGAATCGTATCAAATGCAGGTAAAGTAGTAAAGACAAAAGAAACATCAGATAACTTTCAATTTAGAGCAAATTCAAAGCTAAAAAATCCGAAGGATTTATACGCTCGGCTAAGCGTATAAACAGCAAGAAAATGAGGGAAAAACAAGAACAAATTAACAACACATGATTTCATTTAATAACCTTTTTTAAATTAAAATAATAGTTTAATGTACATAATTTACAACTTTTAAACATAGCATATACATTATACAAATGCACACATTATAAAATTCGTGTGAGTTTAATAACAAAAAGAAGTAAGTAAAACAAAACATTTACATGCGTTACTAGTTAATAGAGTGTTACATGTTATGGAAGTAGTTTATAATTTCATACAGTTCAAGTCAAATTTTTTCTTTAAAATTCATGGATGAATAATCTTTATTTGCTTATAATTACTATAAGGCCATTTTTCGAAGACTCTATTGTCATAAAAAATAACATTTTCAGCGAATAATTTGCTATTTTCATAAATGTCATGAGTTTTAACAGTTATTCATAACTGTTAGATAAAGTTTTTTGTCATTTCTAACCAGAGCCATTTATATTGATCATGTAAACTAAGCTCCGACGAAAAGGGTTAATGGTTCGAGGGAGGGCCGAACCATAAAAATGCTTATTAACCAGGTAGACGACGTAGGTATTAAATCAGACAACAACAACAACAAAAAGCGTTTTTTCTCTAAATAGTTTTTTTTTTTTTTTTTTTTTTACAGATTTGAATTTTCGATACTTAAGAAGCAATCTAAAAAAAAGTGTCCCCTATAGGTTGATCAGGAGACAGGTGAAAAGTTCGAAACCCTCAATGTTTATTTTACTTGTATATTTCCCCGTGCCCCCAAAACTTTTTAAGGGAATCAAAAACTTTTTGTACTTAATTATAAAACTTATTTATCAAAATAGAAATCCGTGTGTCAACTAATTTCTTTCAAAAATTTGTTAGTTCATTTAATAATGATTTAATTATTTGTTTAATAATTCAATAATAACCCGTTTGAATTGTATGGTATGCAAAATTTTACAAAAACTGTACGATAAATTAGAAAATTTGAACTAAATTGATCGAATAGTTCTCGCGAAATCAAATTTTAAAAAATGCACCTATTTTAAAATGTGATAATTTTGAGCACTGTACATTAGGTAGAGGTTACTTTCAAATTTACAGTGAAAGTTACGATACACATGATATTTTCAGGAATTATTAGATAGAATCCCAAAAATTAATAGCCGCACTTGGTATAATTATTCTGATAAACAGTGTTGCCAGATTAGGGGTTTCCCCCCTAAATTTAGGGGGATTTTTTTATCTTCAGTGGGTATTTTAGGAGAATTGGTTTTTAGGGGTTTGTTTTAGGGTTATTTGTGAATTTTACTTGTTTCATTTTGGCTACCTTCTAATATCAAATTCTATAACAGAATGTGTGAGATGGTAATATGAAAATTAATATGTTAAACCAAAACAAAAAGATTAAGATATAATTTTAGACCTTTACCCCTTTGTTGAATGTAGCAGGTTCATAGCTCGATCAACCAGTACATTTGGAGAATTTGAATTCAAATTATTTAAAATTTTTAATGTGCAAGGCTTAAAAATAATGCCAAAGGATAAAGAAAAAAAGAAGTACGTACAAAAGTACAAGAAAGATTGGGAACACGAAAATCAGTTTACAGGTTAAAGGATTAAGGATTAAGGGTAAAGGATTTTTTATCTACTTTTTCTATGTTAAAAATGTTTAACAGCGAAAACATATACAAATCAGAAAGTATTGACGAAAATATGTTGGATATTTTATCAAAAATTTAAGCATAATGTTAGAATTAAAATATTAAAAAAGACTATATCGTTGATAATAAAATATTTATGAAAAAATGTGCAAGTCAAAGAGTATGGAAAAAAATATCTTAAATATTTTAAAAGAAATTAAAGATAATGTAACGATTGTAATGCAAAAAAGATTAATTTGTTGATAATAAAATATTATAAAGTATTAAAGCAACGTTTTCTATACATTATTTAACTTTTGTACTATTTTTTAATACTTATAGATTAAGTTAAAAATTTTGGGGTTTTTTAAAAATTTTTAGGGGATTTTACAACGCCATCTGGGGGTGAACGGTTATCAGCACCTGGCAACACTGCTGAGAAAGAACGTTTTTGTGTATGATTTTGTAGTTTAAAATATTTTCGGCACTCAGAATAATTAGCATATACAAGGTCTATTCAAGCCTTTGAATCAATCAGATTGCAAATCGCATTTAAGAATCAGATCAATAGATCAAAAGTTAATATTATAAAAAAAATTATTACGATTTCTGCTAACTACCCTATCGTGCATTTTTTGATAGAAAAAGCAGTTTATATTAGCCTCCTGTACCATTATTTATTTTGGGTTTGGTATGAATGTTTTGGTTTATGAAAATTTTCACAATGAAGATAATAAGTTTCACAGCATGAACTCTGTCCATACCATATATTTTTAATATATTGGATAAAAATTAACTCACAATAGCCTACATAATTGGGATCACAGGTTATAATATTTAATAACAAAAGTCAAATAAATAACAAATCTCTGGTTTAAACTCAATAAACTTATTAGATGCCGCCGTTATGCCCCTCATTTTAATTATTCTATCCAATTAACATAATGAAAAAGCATAATTTTTAAGATTTTTAATCCATCTTTACTGATTGATTTCAATAATGGGTTGTTAAGTGTTAGTAACGCATTTAATTTTTAACAGATATGTATCAATATCACACCATCATATTAAGTAAATTCTGAAAATTTAATTTTTGTTAGGGATTCTAAGAAACACATAATGAGATCGAAGACACTCGGCAACTTTCGAAAAAGTTTGCTTTTTATTTGTACCCAAAGTTTATAATTTACGCGTTATAATGTATATGCATAGCTTTTAATTTGGCATGATTTAGCTCTTTGGTTAATCAAATTGCCTAATTTTTGTACTATTAAATTTGCTGTATTACTAAGCAATTTTATTTAAATCAATATTTAATTTGTTCGCAAAGCTATATAAAATATACAATTTGTGCGTATTTAATCATGCTATCTACTAGTTGAGAGACAATAAGCTAAGAGATACATAGAAAGATTCAACGCTTTCAGGTAAAATCAAAATTTGATTTTATTACCTGGAATACAGTTTCGTATACACGTTATATGAAGCATACAGCTCACGCGTAATTTTTTTTTCTATCATGAAGTAGTGTGTAATTTACACTTTAGGAGTTGTTGGGTAAAAAGATACATAAATAAGATCAACGCTTCTGGAAAAAATCAAAATTTGATTTTCTCACCTGGAATACAATTTTGTATACAACGCTGTATGAAATATGGAAATAACGCGAATTCTTCCTATCATGAATCAGTTCCTAATTCACATGGAATGCATTTGCGTATATAACTTTTTTCGAAATACACGTGAAATTGTCTTTTCTATCATGCAGAAACATTTAATTTTCACTTTAGGAACCCTGAGTTAAAAGATACATAAAAAAGATCAACGCTTCCAGGTAAATTCAAAAGTTGGTTTTATTACTTGGAATACAATTTCGTACACAACGTTATATGAAATATACAACGCAAGCGCCTTTTTTATCATATCAAGCAATAGTATCTAATTTACACTTCGGGCACCGGTGGGTTAAAAGATACATAAACAGGATCAACGCTTCCAGGTAAAATCAAAAGCTGGTTTTATTACTTGGAATATAATTTCGTACACAACGTTATATGAAATATACAACGCAAGCGCCTTTTTATCCTATCAAGCAATAGTATCTAATTTACACTTCGGGCACCGGTGGGTTAAAAGATACATAAACAAGATCAACGCTTCCAGGTAAATTCAAAAGTTGGTTTTATTACTTGGAATACAATTTCGTACACAACGTTATGTGAAATATACAACGCAAGCGCCTTTTTATCCTATCAAGCAATAGTATCTAATTTACACTTCGGGCAACGGTGGGTTGAAAGATGCATAAACAGGATCAACGCTTCCAAGTAAAATCAAAATTTGGTTTTATTATTTGGAATACAATTTCGCACACAACGTTATATGAAATATACATCGCAAGCGCCTTTTTATCCTATCATGCAATAGTATCTAATTTAAACTTCGGGCACCGGTGGGTTAAAAGATACATAAACAGGATCAACGCTTCCAGGTAAAATCAAAAACTGAGGACCATGGCATATCGTTCTGTGGGATGTTGCCGAATGAGGTGGGTAAACTGGATGCAACCGATTAGGGTCAGGTGGAAGTTCCAACGACTTGGCTGCCGAAGATAGTTTTGGTTGTCTTCTACTTGTCACACAGATGTACAGAACTAAGCACAATCCAAACAGTAAAAGAATCACTCCAACCACCAAGAAAGCTATGCAACCTTTGAAGAGATCTTGAAATTGTGGAAACCTTCGCAGAATCGATGTTAAGACGCTCCCGATTACTATGAAAGTAATACCAAGCAAGCAGCTCGTTGAAGCTAGCGTTTGGAAATGATAACTAGTGTCTTTGGTCCATGCTGGAATGAGATGCTTTTGTGGTGCCATAGACATGTCAAGTAGATCGTCGTCATTAGTATCAATTTATCTAGGTGTATCCTAAGCCGTAGAATATTTTGACCGATTATCTGAAATAGAAGAAAATGAGTTCATAATCCAGTTGATAAAAGTCTTAAAGTAAATTTTAATAAAAAAATACTACCCACACTGAAATTGACAAACAGGATATACCTGTCTCATTTCTACATTAAAATTTTGTGACGAAGATCTCGTAGAAGAGATAAGCTTTATTTGGCTTAGACAACATGGAGATTTAGCACTAACATGTAGCATCAAGCACGCTCACGAACGCATGTTCTGAAAAAGTCATAGCCTCCGAAAGGCTGTTTCGCGGTGGTTATATAACAAAATAGCGCATGAATGCGATTCAAATATCTCAAAGTGCACCTTTTCTCTCACGTGGCTGGGTGGCGCTGTTGGTTTGTCATCCGCCTTCTGAGCCCAAGTCTGCGGGTTCGATCCCCGGCCCAGATACCGGATTTTCGGGATGCAGAAAATCCTCAGCGGCCATGTCGTATGATTATGCGGCATGTAAAAGACCCCTGAAATGCCTTATTGGCTCTTAGCATTTTCGGAAAAATTAAATTCCTAGTGCACTTTAGCATCCAAATAGAGTCTCGGTGCTGCCATCTAGTGTGGCAGAAACTAGACGTCCAAATTAACATGACCAACGTTATCTCACCAATTGTGGTGGTCCTGAAAGAGTGGATACCATCTCTGGAGAACGCACTAAGTCTGCTCATCGGCGAGACCGATTGTGCAGCTCATTGGAAATTAAATAAACCTTTTCTCTCATCTCAGAGCACGTGTACGCGATGTTCAACTATATTCTGTAACCTTTTGACGCAGAATTTTTGTGAAACATAATTTTCATAATTTTTCCTTATTTTGTATTAATTTAATTCAAAATACGCGAAAAAAATATATATTTATCGTCTTAGTAATTTATGGTTATGAAATTCAGCATAAAACGCCGGTGTCTTTTTCTGTGTTAAAAGTAAAATCTTCCGAACAAGGCTCACTTCCAAACAGAAATTTTTCAAATTTGCACTTATTTGCCGTCATTTAGATCTAAAGCGAAACAGTTATTAATCATTGAAATTTCTCTCATTTACAAAATCAATTATTGATATATTTTTGAATATGTATGAAAAAAATCTTTTTTAAACTTTGGACTTTATATTTTAGTACAAATATAATTCAGATAATCTAACACATTTTTTTAGTTATATATGTATTAATACAAGTTTTTAACGATTTCTATTTGATCCTGCGTAATAAAATATTTTTGAAATTTGTATTTCACTAGCCATCATGTACCTAAAATAATTTATAAATTTGATTTTCTTTATGTTTTTTTTCTTTACACATTCTTGGCTATAATTAATTATTTAACAGCCCAGTAAGTGTTTACAATAAAATAAGGAATAGAAACCTATCTTTATCATATATGGAGAAACAGCTCTTTTATTTGGTTTTATTGCAACCCCAAGTGACAAGAATACTTTGCTTTGCTTCTCTATGTGATTTTATTGTTCCATTTACTAAATATAGACTCCGTTATATAATTTAATTTTAGCTATTAATATAATTAATTTTGAGTTAAATTTCAAAGCTCTTTATTAAAAGGAACTTTATCATCGACGGAATTCGTAATTTCTCTTTGTCAAAGAAGGTGTTCCACATAGCATATATTTTTAGAATTTTAGCCAAAAAGGAAGTGGGGGGAAAAATGCAATATAAAGAGAGGTATTATGCGAGGAAAGATCAGAAATCGCTATCAAATTGACTAATCACTACTGAAAAGGGGTTAAAAAACATCAAAACCTGTTACATTGACGGAGGAAACAAAGAGGCTTTTAAAGATGCTTATTGATTCTGCTATCGAATTCCTTTATTCGGCTATCAAACTAATTTTTATGGATTTTGCACAAGGCATTGCTTACAAGTGACTTGACAGATTTCGAAAACTCTTTTGTTTTTTCCTCTCTTCATCGGAGAAAAAATAATTTGAGACCCCATAAATTGTACATTTTTTACTTCATTTTGGACATAATCTTAAAAATGTACATTCAGACATATTTTGAACTCTCATAATATCATAATCTTTTTAATACATAATAAAATATGCATTTTACCCTACAACATACGTATTTTTTGAAATGCATGTTATATATTAACCTATAAAATAAATATTCTCTATCAAACTTTATAAAAACAACTTGATAAAATAATATTTTCATGATTCTAATCCCTTTAGAAATACTTTAATTTTGAATGAAAAATTCAAAACCGATGACATGTTTTACGACCATATTTAATTTATTTTATTAAACGTATTAAACTATAATAAGGATAAAAAATTAATGTTAACTTTATACGCTTGACAGAAGTGTTCATAAATTCAAGAAATCGATTAGTGACTTGTTTACAAGAATTTTATCAGACATTCAGGGATGGGTTGAAAATAATCAAAAATATTAAAATTTAAATGACATGTCGCTTGAAATTTAATGAGTTTTTTTATTTATTATAACTTTGGTAATATTTTTTACGCAAATTTTGGTGAAAATTAATGGCATCGTTTAGTTTTAGTTTTAAAGTTGATGACTTATTTGTGAATTAAAGGATAAATAACTTTCGTTTCCAAGGGAATAGTTAGAGAAACACATTTTGATGTTTACAGAGCCGCCATTCATATTAACCTAAGAAGCATTAAGAAGTATCAAAATCGATTATTATTTTTTTAAGATTTATTTATTCAGGAAAAGTAGTTTTAAAATAAACATTCGTGCAAACATTTATTTGTAAAGCTATTACCTGCTTTTGTGGTGCTTGGCTAAAAATATCTCAATTTTATCTGTGAATACAAAAACACAGACAATGCGAAAAATGTTATGGAAAAATTTAAAAACAAAAGTGAAATAATAAATGATTAAGTTCTTCCAATATGGATGTAAGTAATTGTTCATATTTATGTAAGCAGACAGACGAGAAGTAACGAAAACACTCACATAATAAAGTAAAAAATTAATGCTTAATAACATTTTGCAACCAAACATTCAAGTAAACTAATATAATTCAGATTTGAACCACTGTGGTTTCGCCTCGTAAAGGGACAACCTATGTTTGAATCCCAGTGGTGGTTGGCTGGTACGAAATCTGCTCCTGGCTCGGATAGACCACAGTAGTAGATAACTCACTGATTAAAATCCTCTTGCCGTCTCGTTAACCGTGGCACGTTTCCATTTTTTCCTCTTGTTGTAACTTGAAATCAGACTAGTTCCGTGCTAGTTTGTCCTAATGCTTGATATGGAGTTCCCTTGTCTTGTGGGTTTGGTTCAAAATTACAAGGATATGGAGTTGGAGTCGCAAACTTAGAATTAGGTGGGCTGTACTATGCCAATTATGAAATAAAATATAACTCAGATTTGTAAACATGTCACAAAATGTTTACGCCGAGACATTAACCTCGATCAAAATTGGAATTTATAGAAGGAAAATCTTTTTTTAGTTTTATTTAACAACTCAGCAATTGTTCATTTTAGTAAGTACTTCGATTCTGAAGAACTTGGTAGGGGAAGAATCCACGTAAAAATTTTGGAGTGAAAGAACCATCTAAGTGCACTTGGCGGTTAATAGTAAGCGAGTAATCTTAGAAACCCTCTTTTTCAGAATCAGAATTAAAACTCGGAAGTCATGACGGAAATAACTTAAAAAATTTTAGGGATTTATACGTTTCACAAATTGGGATGACACTTAGACCATCAATCAGTGATAGGGCTCTCAGGTATTCAATTACCAAGAAATTATGCATAATAAATGATAATTTGTTTTGGCACTTTGGCTTTAAATCCTTCAAAATTCTTATAACGTTACAATTTATAGTACTCTCTAGGAAACGTCCCCAAGCTATAGATCTCAAGTATTAGAAGAAATGATAGAAAATCCATAGCTTTAAAATACGTTGCTAAATTGCAATGACAAAGCTATAATAAATTATCAAAAATTGACTTTTTAACGCCAAATGTAACTTTGCGTGGTGAGAATTTAGAGAAAAACGCCCTTTTCCGAAATCCATTCGTGAAATCCAAGTTTTCATTGGACGATTTTAAATTTGTTAGAGATTCGTTTCATTCAAAAGTAAAATCGGATTTAAATATAAATTTTTTTTTTGTTTAACAGTGCATTTTCTACAATTTTTTGCAACAATTTTCGGTTATTTTGTTTGTCACTAAAAAAGCGTTTTTATACGTTTTTGAGTTTAAGCATGCATTCTTTTTTTTCTCTCTTCAAGTTAAACAATCAGCAAAATGCTATTTTATATATATAAAAACTAAAAAAAACTAAACTCAGTGGAGCGACAGCCCATAGAGGGCCAAGGCCTACTGTGCCCATCTCAGTTTTCTTGACCTTTGGGCCCTGAAGTGCAAGAGCAGATGCTCCGGTAGGGTCGTCAGCCCAACGAGGATCCCCCAGTGTTCAGCTCCCAAGCATGCTTGGTACTCATTTTATCGACCCACTGAAGTTATGAAATGTTATATCTAACTTTCCCCGACCCAGAGATCGAACCAGGGACCTGTGACCAGACAGCGCCTCTCAGCCACTGGGCGTCAATTTATAGATATATATATATCGAAAAATCTTGTTGGTGGAATTGAACATTTTTTAAAACCTTTTTTTTTTAACTTTTAGAACATACTAGTGACTCTAAAACAATAATACCTGATTAGATTAATATTTTGTCCGTGATGTTGTTGTTGTTCATTTACGTCGCACTAGAGCTGCACAATGGGCTATTGGCGACGGTCTGGGAAACATCCCTGAGGATGATCTGAAGACATGCCATCGCAATTTTGATCCTCTGCAGAGCGGATGCCCCCCCCCCCGCTTCGGTAGCCCGACAACCTGCACGCAAAGTCGAGCACTTTACGGTAGAACAGTTTAACGAGGACCAATACCGCACACCCTCGGTCCCTACGCAGGTTGATCCAAGTGGTCACCCACCCGCACACTGACCGCAGCCAGTGATGCTTGACTTCGGTGATCTGCTGGGAACCGTGTCTTA